TATAGTGAATGGATGTCCTGCTCGCAGGCTCATGGTATTCAGGTATATAGTGCACTTTATTCTATACATTGTACCTAATGATAGCTGTCTTCCTCTTAGGACCAGCTCCTATCAGGTGCTACTATTGTTCCAATAGTTCTTGCTTCTGATAAAACCCCGGTCACCCGCCAATCAGGTGGGCTCGAGATGCATCCTATGTTTCTCACTACAGCCAACATTCGATCGGACATCCGCATGAAAGCTACTTTGCACGCATGGTCATGCATTGTGTATATGCCTATCCCACAATTCATTTGTCATCCAGACTTCTGCTCACTCTTGCAAGCCCGTATCTGGCACCGGCGTGTAGATATTGTTTGTGAAAACCTTAAAATCACCGCTGCAACTGGCACAAGCATGGTGGATCCATCCGGTCACTTGCGCTACACATTCACCCCCCTTGTCGCATACACTGCGGACCTCCCTGAACAGCAGATGATTGCGTGTGTCAGTAAGAACGCGTCACCCATTACCTTGGCTACCCAGTCACAGTTTGGGGATGGCGTATCATACCCTCCTCGTCATGGGAATATCACGATTGAAGCACTGCACCGACTTTGCCAATGCGTGGATCCCTGGAAGGTTCAAGAATTCCAAGAGGAAGCCAAATCACTTTACCTCAGCAGGGTCCAACTTCCCTTCTGGCACAACTGGCGCTTTAGTGATCCTGCATATTTCCTTGCGCCTGACATCCTACATACACTCCACAAATTTTTTTTGACCATATCTTCAAGTGGTGCAAGGAAGTTCTGGGGGCAGATGAGCTCGATTCACGCTTTCATAGACAGCACAAACATATTGGCACTCGTCATTTTTCCCAAGGTGTCTTGCACATCCAGCAAATGACTGGGCGGGAGCATCGGGATATCCAGCACACAATTGTTACTACACTTGTGGGTGTTGCTGATGCGAACTTTATCCAAGCAATTTGTGTGCTTATCGATTTCGTTTACCAAGGCTTCAAAAGAGCTATTATCAGCGCTGAGGCTCGCAGGGGGACCTCCGGTCCTATTGAGCACTTTGAAATACCTAAACTCGAACTTCTCACTTCATTTGCTTGATCTATCCCTAATCTTGGCGCCCCAATCCAGTTTACATCTGAGACCAGTGAACGCATGCTGATCACGCATTGCAAAGGTCCTTTTACGCGCATTAGTCATCAGCGTGCAAGCTTCATGCAGCAAATTATCTGCCTTTTGGATCAGGAAGACACAGCGTGCCAATTCGACTTGTACGCTCTCCTCCGCTCAAAATCATTGTCCATTAATAATCTGATTGACAATGAATTCGAGGAAGTTGTCGACATCGACCCAGTGTGTGATTGGATCATGCGCGTCTCTCCCGAGGAAGTTTCTCGTTTTCATAGTCCCCATCCCGTCCGCAACCATTTTCTGAAGAGGCTTCTTTCAGAAGATAGCCGTGTCACATTCCACATTACTGTTTCTAGTGATCTGGCTGACAAGTCACCTAACTCTTTGGCGCGGTTATATCATCTTCCGAACTTCCCTAATCTACTTCATGCCTTTATTGAGCGCGTCAATGGGTCAGGGTCCCACTTTCAAACGTGTCTCCTTAAGGTTTGGAACAAATTCCATCTACAGTTACATTCAGACCTGCGCCCACATCTTGTGATGCCAAGCCAACAAGTACAAGCGTATCCACCGTCTGGAGCTTATCCCCTTGGAAATTGTGATATGGTACTCCTGCAGACGCAGAATGATGGTGAGACACCAATGTCTTATTAGCATCATTGTACTAACCCGGTCCTCTAGATCAAGTCGTAGTTGCACAAGTTCGAATGGTATTTGGCTTATCAACGAGGGGTTCTGCGCTGCCTCCCGAACTTTCTGAGCCACTTCTTTACATGCAACTCTTTGAGGTGATCTCGCGTCCGCAGGATGATCATGTGGTCATGATGTACCGTGTCAAGCAATGGTTCGATACCGGTCCTGATGGTACACAGCGAGGCTTAGAATGATTGTACCGCTTGTTGATGTCACTCATGCAATCGAGTTGATTCCTGAATATGGTCAAAGAGTCAATCACGATGTTACTGCTGCAACATCCTTGGAACTTTATGATACCTTCTACCTCAACAGTTTTTCAGACAAGGAATGGTATCACGCATTGCACACAGAGTTTTATTAGTTCGTTTCATCCAACAGTGTACCAGTAGTAGTAGGAATTATATTAGTGTGATGTTATCAGTTCACTATCTAGGCAACAATAAGATATGCAGACGCAATAACACGAACTTTGTAGATCTCTGTGACTCTCCCTCACCATAAGCCATCTCCAACCAATCGGATGCTTCAGGGTGCAGGTCGTAAGTCACCAAACTTCTTTGACAGCTTAAGCGACTTAAGCGAGAACTTGGGTACTTTTCAGATGCATGAACCATGTCCACACAATGCGATCACCGGTGAATGTGACCCCATGCCTCACATTCAGTCCAGAGCAAGCAACCATGGCACCAGAGTTGTATTGCAACTGTATACCGAGGTTGGATAAGGTCATGAGCCCGCCGTAATAATGGCTGACACTGGTCATTACGTCGAACCCCTCCGGAGCAGATCATGGATCTCTGTGAAGAGGGCATTGCCGGTTACAAATGACAGCTGCGCAGTTGAACACCAAGGCCCAAAGTTGCAAACGAGTATATATATCATCGAGGCCATTGTCCATAGCCCATTGAGCGAGTTTTATCTGGGTTGTAACTGAGGCCCAATATAACTCTGGATGCATCACCCGGAGCGCCGCTGAGGCCAAGAGCGCCAAGCGCTGCATGGATGTTATCACCATAGGACCTTCTTCCCCTTTGAGCGTACCTGACACCTCAGGAGTGAACGCACCGGTGGGTGGAAAACCATATGGCTGGAACAGCTGAGTGAGCAGACATGACAGTGGAAAAAGCAGGCCTGACCTCTCAGCCTTGCTAGAACCAGAAGGAGCCATGTTGATCCCTGTGGTGGGAAGCATTTGCCTGGTTGACCACTAGTGGTTGTTACATTCTGACCTTTGTACAATGTCCTGTGCCTGGGAGAGATGCATTTTGTATTGGGCATCGCTGACCATGAAGCCCAAGCCGTCAGTCAATGCCACTTCATCGGTTGGATTGGTGGGATATAAATGCTCGGCCTTGAAATTGCCATCCATGACCAAAGATCTGGAATACAGCCATGCAGGGTCGGATTCATTTCTGTCTGACATATTGAGGTTTACACCAGGCTGAGGACATGCAGGACAGAAGAGTGCAAGCTCCCCTGCCTTTGGCTTTCGCTTCTCATGGCCAAACCCATGCCACTTGAGCTGCTTCACTTGTCTCCACTGCCTGCCGACCCTCATCAAATCTCTGTACCAGTCCTTTCGGCCATTGTTAGCAATGCAATGCAGGAAATCCACATCACTCACTGGAACCAGATGAGGGAACACGCTTGATGTGATTCTTCTTAATTTACTGTAGTAGTTCATTGCTGATGTCCCACATTCATGGTTGTCCAGCAGGAAGTTGTCCAACACCGCAAATGTGAATGCTATCTTCGGCGAAGTGAAAGATGCAGGGAAGAGGCCGGTTTCAAATAGTTGCATGTCAGGGCTCAGTGCACCAGCACACTGACAGAATCTGATCATCATGGAGTGGAGCCCGGATGTATCCACCACCATAGTCATCCGAGGATCATTAACCAATGGTATCCATGGGCCATCTGTCAATCGGTCTCCTTCATCATCTGTGTCACACCACCCATCGGTCAGTCTGGGGCAAGGCTCGCCTGCATGGCCAAGGTGGACTTCAAACCCAATCTTGGTCAAGGAAGTGTCTTCGAAGAATTCCCCAGTCCATTGACTGATCTGATGGAAAGGCATGCGGCTGTGAAACGTCCGACAGCAATGAGTACAGAAGAGTGGTTCACCCATGCAGCCATGACATCTGTAGACTCCATCCTGTGGACAGACAGAGCACATCCTGTTGGAAGGTGGACCCTCTCGCCGAAGGAGCAAGTCCAAGTAGTCCTCAGTCTTGTACTGCCACTCACGCAGATAGTCATTTTGACTCTTGATATTTGGTGTCAGCACATGAGACAAGGCAAGTGAATGGTGAGCTTGCCATGGACTTGCAAAGACGAAAAGGCTTCAAGTTACATTCACCTAGGTCATAGTGTTCATGGTCACCCTCCGCATGAAGTCCTTTGGTAGATCGCTCCTTAATAGGCGATTTTCTGGGGGATGAATGAACTGATGTTGTTTTGTTATAACGTCGAGCTTTGACAAATCGTCCTGTATCTCCTCTAGATGTTTGTTTGTTCTCCCATTGAACCAAAGAGGATAATCTTCGGAGAACTCCAGGCCTTTGGCTTTGACTTGACCATGGACAGAAGTAGTGCTGCAATTGTCAGTATGTTAGACTTTGGGACAGTTTGGTGCTTACATGCAACTGCCAAATGCAATGCCTAGTATGTAATAGTCACTTTGATCTCTCGTAAATCATTGGCATCAATATTCACGGCGCAATTCCAATGGCTGATAGTGATAGTGTATATGATATGTCAAGAGCACTTCAGGTCCTCCAATTTCATGCCACCCACCCACCTATGCATCTACACCACTCAATAAGTCTTGTAACGATAGGGCTCACACTATTTGGCACAATCTAGCCCTTATGTTCACTTATGACATGGGTATGTCACTTATGTGAATCATTACTCACACGAGCTTCCTTCCATTTTTTGTTCCATCAACCACATCAACGCTCTCCTACACTTACATTTCCAGGTTCTTTACTCCAAGCCACCTACTGTGATATGGCTCGGACAACGATAAATACTGGCAATCAGCCTCGATTGAACAACCGAGAGATCACCACTCTGTAATCCCACATTGAGGACTGGGAGAAGGCCAGAGGGACTGAGCGACAACAGATCTTCAAAGCGGCCGCCAGAGAGGCCAGACTGTTGGCTTCAAAGATGGACCAAGAGCTCTTGAAGCAAAGAAAAGAGGTCAGTGTTTCAGCTTTCATGTTGGCTCAGGCTGCATTACAGTCACCATGAACAGAAATACAGGCAGTGGCTCCACAATCACAATAAACACAAGGCCAATGCCAAAGCGCCAATGAAGCTCCGAAAGAAATGGACAGCACACCAGGTCATTGAAGAGCAGCGGAAGGCTGACATTCTTCAGCAAATACATGAAGAAATTGAGGAGGAGACTGGGCAGAAGCCTGGGCAGACAGAAGTCCTCAGGAGGTATCAACCAACGATGATGGCAATCATGAAAGGGCTGGATCACAATGAGTTGGAGGAAGCCCAGGCGAAGGCCGACGAGTGGACAAATCAAGCACCTGACCCTGTAGTCCAGGCCAAGACGGCTAGAAAAAATGATCAAGCACTTCGCCAAAGAGATATTTACTCAGGCCAGTATGAGACTCTTTGTATTAGCATCCTGGAAAGATGAGAAGGGCGGCGCCCTGCTTACATCTGGGCAAGTTGATATGGTCGGTCAGTTGGGTCGGTCATTGTGCTTACATGGTTTGGCAGGTTCAACTTCAATGAACACCCCAGGAGAGGATCCAGCTTCATGAAATGCAAGGACTGGCAGGTCATCTTACTGGCATGGGAAGATTTCATCGGTGATGAATTCAGTAAGTCTCAAGACCATCTGAGAGGTGCTTTATTTAATTTATGTTACCTCCACAAAGACCAGGATCAAGACCAGGACAGCACGCTGCTGGGAGGCACTCACCGGGTCCCCAAGCCTCATTATGAGTTCAACCTGGACCGCATGAATTTGCCGATATTGCCCGATATTTGAGGGTGTCTCGCTTGAAGTCAAAAAGGCAATGATTTGGTCATTCCTCACCATTCATTACAGTAAGCCCGATGATAGAAAACCTGTGCCATCATCTGACACCCACCACCATAGGAATATGCTGCGGAAAACGGAAGGTCCCAGTGCCATGGAGTGACATAATGAAGGGGCAGTCTCAATTCATCTCCAGCACATACCTGCCAGATGATATCAAGATCACAGACCCATCCAAAATGCAACGGGATGAAGCCAATGCCTTGTTGGAATGTTGGTTGGACTGACAGGACAACCAGGTTGGACTAACATTGAAGTTCAAAGCGTGGATTGACGACAAGGGCAAGATGCATTCTCCCATCGGTGAAGACTCTGATGACTCTGATGCTGATGCTGATGATGAGGGCTTGTGGCCCAGGCCAACTACAAAGTCATCGGCCACTGCTGCACTATCATCGGCCGGACTTCCAAAAAGGCCGACGAGGTTCATCAAACAAGCTCATGTTAGTTCTGCTGATGAAGAATCTAACAACACTGATGCATATGTGTCTCTGCCAAAAGTAAGGAAAGATGCCCCTGACTGTGTGGGGAAAGGTGCAATTACAGAACACAGTGACCAGGTGGGGCGCAAGTCGGAGTCCGATGACCGACATGACCCAAGAGCTTAATCCTGGCAATGTTGCCAGTGAGGGCATCTGCGCCCCTGAAGGCGGTGACAAGATTACTGCTTCCCAATGGCGCACATTCTGTCTTTGTGGACAGAGCACAGGGAGCAACGTCAGTACAAGGTGTATTCTGGCTGGTCATGCCCATGTGGTGGCAGGGGCATCTGGGTCGGGGCATATACAGATGCAGGAGAGGAAGCAGAAAGGGGAGAGGAAAGCAACGATGCTGAAGCCGGCATATTTGAGGGGTTTTCCTTGGGTGTTGGCATAGGTGTTGTGTTGGGTTACAGATCGTTTCATGTCGAGGGGTTTTGTATGGCGATGGCGGTTATGGATGTGTCGGCAATGAAAGGAGTCAGGGGTTTGTGGCAGGGGTTTGTCATCGGGGGTGGTTCTGGAATAATGAGCTTTGGTGGCGAAGAACTGCTGGTTCTTGTAGTTGCAGTGGTGTGACCCGCAGTTGGGTGATCGTGGTGCAGCGCAAGCACACAATGTCGGAGGTCAGGGGGAATGTAAGCACGATCCTTGTAGAAGAGGACACCATCGGTGAACCTCCAGTCGGAAAGTGCAGATTTCATCGGAGGTGCACACACCCCAGAAAGTGTTAGTTATATGATCATTCACCTCTACAGTACGCATTTCTATGTCTTCTATGTGTCTAACCTTGCCATTTCACTTATAGTATCATTCCTTACACTTTGCTACCTATTTACATGACTTCCTGAATCTCCCTAGGACATCCCTAGTCTTCCTCATCAGAAGACTCATCAAGCTGGCGGACGCCAGACTTGCTTGGCTTCTTCGTTGTTCTTGTCTCCTCGGCACACCTTCAGGTGGAACCAGGAATTGTTTGCTCGATGGCCTTTCTGCTGGCACTTGAAGCAGAGGCCTTTATCGAAGCACTTCTGTTGTTCCTCAGGTGTGAGGGTACAATCCACGTCCATAGCATTAGGGTCACATTGGTGAACCTGTGGTCTAGGGACGTGCCAGTTGCTGGAGGGGCATACCAATCAGTTGTTGGCAGTGACAGTGTACCATTTGTCAATGGTGGTGGGGACAGTCTCCTTCGTGTAGACAGCATTACAAAGCCCAGCCTTCAGTCCTCATTTGAAGAAGTGGATGAGCGTGAGGTCCTGCTTGACGCTCGCAGTGGAGGCAAGGGTCTTGAATGCTGCAATGTAGGGTGTCATGTCTCCAACCTGTGTGAGGCATTAGAGCTTAGTCATAGCCTCAGCTTATCAGTCGATGGCTTGGAAGGAGGCGTTGAACTGGGTCTTAAAGTCTTTGAACGTGCTGAAGTCCACTGGGACCTTGTCAAAGGCCTCCCTGTAGAAGGTGTCTGCCCAGATGCGTATTTCCTGATCCAGGTAGTCGTGGTGTCTGTTTAGTCAATGGGGTGCTGCGCGGATGGTGAGGCATCGAGGGGAAACTTGAATCTTTTGTTATGCACTCAAATAGGTCTGTTATGCGGAGCCCTAAGAGGGGTGTCATCCGCTAACATTCGTGATGTAACTGGAAGGATCTGGTATAGCAAGTGAGACTGACAACATTGAGTCGACAGTGATCACAGACGTGCGTGTCATGTGACTACTAAGACAGATGTCTTTGAAGTCACCAGGCTCAAAGGACAGTCTTGTCCGAACAATGAGTGTCGATCGAGGTAGACTTAAGTGCAAAGAGCACTTAAGAAAAGATACTAGAGACTGAAGCTGAGAGGCTTCAGAGGGAAGTATGTTCCAAGGAAGATTGAGTAGATTCAAGTTAGAGAATCTAGTACAAGGTGACCGACTACTTATACTAAGTGGAAAGGGTTGAGGGCTAGGTTACCGTACTGTAGGTAAGGGTAAAGGGGAAATGGAAAGGGTATAGGTGTGCTGGCAACACAGCCAGATTAGTGGTGGATGGTCGAATGCGGAATGAGACCGAGAAACATTGGAATGACCCACAGGTAAGGATACAACGTGCGTGAAGCACAGTCAGAATGAAACAGAAAAGGAAAGCCACATTGGTGGCATGAGTCAGACCAAGTCAGAGGTGAGGGACCATGTTGATGGTTGAGTCAAGAAAGGGGAACGTGCGTACACATGCATAACAGAGGACAGTACAAGGGATGGAAATGGTCCCAAGGATCCGGTCAATAGATATTCGGTAGAGGAAGACGAGCTGGTAGGTGGTGAGGGCAAGGATGACGGGAAAATGATAGGGGGGCCACATGACCAATGTTACTTGTAACAGATAAAGGTAGGTTTGGTAAAATTCAACTTTGATTAGACCTGATTATGAATCATCAAAAGCTCCAACTATGGCTGAAATGAGGCTAAGGTTGACTGAAAATGAAGTGTCTACCAATGTTAGGACTGGGGCTGTTGCATGGTTGATTGAGGGTATCAACATAGAAATGCTCAGTAAGGTGTTCAATATTTGGGACGTGATTGACTCAATTTGGGTTATTAGAGATGCCCTACGTCCTTCTATAAGACAACTGCCAGAGGATTCAACTGCTTCTCAGAGAACTCTGATGGAAGAAAAAAGGGAGAAGCTCTTGTCTCACATTAATAAGTTCCACGAGACTGTGTTGGTTATGACAAATAGTATGGAATTGTAGGATGGAGAGGGATTGCACCACAATACAACGATTGGTAGCTAACTCTGATACAATGTCATCTTATCAAGCCCTAAAGGCTGGAGGACCTTACAGTGAGCAAAGAAGTCACTGAGGAAAATAGGCATGGTCAGGGTTCTGATAGGTTGGCTTGGTTTTGGAGAATCAACAGTGCAGAGGACAGCCAGACGAGAGTGTGGATGAATGAATGTGAGTTTTAATCTTATCTGATTTTTATCAAGGTACTGAGCTTATGTTCCCCATTCCTAGTTTATCGAGTGAATTGGTTGAAAGCAAAAGCACGATATGATCGTTGGAGCGAAGAGTTGAAGTTAGTACAGCATGAAATGTGTTGAACAGTACAGTGGTTTCAGAACCAGGAGTCAGAGTAGAGAGCAAGGGCAGATGAAAGCATCAAGAATGGGCATAGGGTATATGCTGAAAAGTAGGCTTCCATGTAAGCCGAGTTTGCAGCTGAGGGCATAAAGAGTTTTCAGGGAAAATGAAGCATGAGAAGTTGATATTGAAGATGGCTTCATAATGTAATTACTTCTAAATGTATCAGATGAGGTTAGGTGTCCTCTCCCAAATATTGTAATAGTGGGCCAGCCCATGATGGTTGGTATGCAGCCAGCCCTATATTACAGCCTGTCCGGCCTCGGCCAGCCTGGCTGTGATATGTATCCCACCTGTGGGCCTCTCTGAACATCATCTCTCCGGCTTCTCAGGGCATGTCTACTCCACAGGAATGCCTAGATTATCAGATGAATGACTGCAACTTCATGAAGATGATCTGAATGGGTGAGTCTTTCGATATCCTTGGGTTGATCTGGATCTCATTATGACAGGCATGTCATTGTCTCAGAAGTACAAGGAGGCAAAGTGTGGGGTGGCTGAAAGCTGCAACACATTCAAAGAATTGAACAACTCTGCCAATCCGGTGTAGGACTTGGAGTCCTTGTGGCCTCGTAGAGGTCTATTTTCTGATGCATGTTGAAATGCTAATCATTACCCAAATCATTCCCTATCATATCTGACTAAATACGCACCAAACCCAAAAACATTGACTCAGACAGAAAAATGACTCATAATGACTCAAACTGAGTCATAGTTGAAATGTCCCATGATGGCTTGTTTACTTCTCAAATATTCCCATCTATTAACTTTCTTCCTTGAGTTTCCTGACTAATCCATCTCATCTTACTAATCCATTTCATCTGACTAAGCCATTGATCACACATGAACTGTTGAAATGTTGGAATGTTACCATAAATATGTTTCAGAACATACAGAAAAAATATAAAGATTTGTAAAAAACAAAACAATCATAGGATTGTGAGAGAATGCTGAATAATGTGTTGTGGTATGTTTGGAACTTATCTTTAAACTGGATAAGTGTTAATTGAATTATGATGTAGTATTATGGGTTTGTTATGTCTGAAAATCACTCAAATCAAATCATAATGTGTTCATAGAAAATTCTTAGTAATTTCGTAGAGTAAAGCAGAGAACATCAAAGCTCAAAAGTAGCCATGACCATGCACAAAACAAGTTTGGTGCATGTCAGCGGGTGCATTGTCAGTGATTAGCTTGGTCACTGGACCCCATCGGCAAAGGATTTCTTCATATATAAAGGCCACAAGTGACCTTGTGTTTTCCTTGTGCAGCATGCGCCATTCTGGATAAGATGTTAGCACACAACATGCTTGGATGAGATACTCAAAACTGCCTGCCCAGGGCATCTTCATCATGTCAATATGCACTCGGCGGCACAAGCCACCGGGCATTGGAACCATCAGCAGGATATGAAGCTTGTGCGTCTGCCTTATCTGGCATTCGTGACACATGCACATGTACCATTTGATGTCGTCCATCATGAATGGCCACCAAAACCATAAGATTAGCTGGATGCGGATCATGTATACTCCCTTGTGACCTAAGTCATTGTGCACTTGCTTGAGGATATTATAGCCACTGGCTGATTAACCAATGTGGTGTAATCTTCATCTGATAATTCTGACGGATGCTTGCGTGTTATCAGAAAATGCTTGACAGTGGAGGACAGGTAAGCGACACGGCGGCGTTATGATCAGCACTAGGCGTGCCGCTCGTGTGATATGAGTTCCAGCGGATTCTATTGTGAATGCACAGTTGTTGAGCAAGGTCAACCCAAAGGAATAGGCTCAGTCTAGCCAATCCTCATGGTCACCTTCCTCGGGAACATCGTCCTTGGTGGCCAGTCTCCTTGAGAGACCATCGGCACCTTTATGCTTTGCAATGGGTACATGAACAAGATTAATGGGGAACAAAAGAATACCCATGATCCACTGATTGATGGTCACATTGGGCTGCAAGTCCGGATTATTGATCATACCTTTGATGTACTTTGTGTCGACTTTGACCGTAAGGTTGGTAACACCAAAAATGAAGATGCGCACGGTGCACAATGCACGGAAGAGTCTGTATAACTCTAACTTCACCTGTGAGTAACAGCTTTCAACTTCGCTGAGCATGATAGAGCTGAAGCAGTTTGGATAGTGCTTGCCATCCTCGCCAACTTGAAGCAGAATATAGCCAACCACAATGGCAGACATGTCAACCGATAGAATAACTTCTTGGCCACTGTCATAATCGATCGGGCACAACACCAGTGAGTTAATGACTGCGGCTTTGAGTAGATCCATTGCTCTGTGATGTTTGTCTTCGAATTCGAATGGTACATCTTTGCTGGTGAGGTTAGTAAGCAGCCACGCGATGTGCACAAAATTACGGATGAATATTCAGAGGATACCACAAGTGCCCAAAAACCCATGCACTTATGTCTGGGTCTTCAGCTCTGGCCAACATGGCCATTGACACCTCATACACGCCTGAAGAGATCTTTTCCTTGATGATGTGCATAACTTCACCGACAATAGCTGGCGGGATTGGAATGTTGCATTGATTCCACGGCATGTGCAGGACTGTAGGTATCTTGTATGGTGGGAATTTTTTTTGTTGAGGCGGCAGCACTCGGTGGTGCACCAGGTGAATGCAAGTTCATGCATGTGGACAAGCCATCTTACTAGTTTGAGTTCTTCTGGCCATAACCATTTGGCAGGGTCAAGATCAAGCTTGTCGGCTCTCTCTTGCGTGAAGCGGGTACCTGGAACAAAATCTGGGGGGTGAGTGGGTAATTCTGGCAAGCCAGCAAGTGGGTCTTCAGGCAATTGCCACACAATTCTATACTCGGCTGGCATAGCTGTCAGTACCATGTGGACTTTCTTTGCGACTGCTTTATATACCAGCACGTGCAGATCATGGTCGTAATAATACCATTCATTGAAAGCATTGATGGTCACTTTATTAATGACTGATCTGGTGGATGTTAATGCACATAATGCGCTGATTGGAGCAGAGATGGAGAAAAAACAGATAACAGCGGCAAATGATGCAATGATATGGAAAACGATGCAGTGTTGCTCCTTAGGAGCATTGATGGTTTGCCCTCAGCACACACATATTGTGGCACTTCGGGATTTGAATGGAGATGCGGAATATAATGAGATGAAGAAACATGGTTTGCGGAATATAACAACAGTGGGTAGACGTCTCCCTGCGGCAGCTGCAGATCATTGAGACCTAAGAACCCTTCTCCTTGGCTTTTGCCTTTGTGGAGTGCTCAGTGCAATGCTTGCCATTAAGACAATGATCGCAGTGCTTGACCCACAGCAGGGTCAGGAGGCATAATTCCTTATGGGTGTTTGGGTCTGTGATGACAATATCTTGATCCCCATTGGGGAGATCATCAGTGTGGCATGATGACAGTTTGAAAAATGGACGGCTGAGCAGAACCTCAAACATTGTGCGGTTAGTCACCTGTACTTGGAAGTACATTGGTCCACCACTGAAATCAAGCACAACACAGAGTGGGGCTATATAAAGATGGCTCCAAACTGATATCTTTATGTTGTGGTCTTGCACTGCTATACTTGGTGACAAGTGCGTTCGACCCAGGGGTCTGCGGTCTGGGAATAGTTTTGGGGGTCAGTGGGTGATGTGAGGTCAATAATCCGAGCACGGGAAACAATGTCCGAAGGTATAATTATGATGTCTGATGCAAAAGCGTGGGGTCCCATGTTTTCCGGGTTATTGGGTTCAGGTTCAGTGTATCGGAAACTAATAGTAACCCGATAGTGAGCATCAGGAAAGCGAGCAGTGTGCGCAATAATAATGATGACAGATATGGATGGTGAAGGAACAATGATATTCGCAATGTCAACTAAGAACTACGAAATATTGGATTTGACCCCTAAGCGTCGAAGATGATTCTCCTCTACTTGGATGATGATGATGCTATGGAGTCCAATATTTATGTAGATACGTAGAAATATGGAACCCTATAGGCGAAAGTAGTAGCGCAATATTTCAGGTCCGATGTTCTATGTAATAAGACATGATGTACTGCAGACTATGGGAATACATGTAATAACACGGTCGACAATGTTAGGGATGTGAAAACAAGTAACTATGCACCTAGTGGGGCTAGCGCAATGAGACTGGACATAGGTAGGACAAGTGTGCATGATATCCAATTGGCCAATGCAAAACCTGATGCAAAACCTGATGTCCAATGTCCGATGTTTTTGGGTTTGGTGTGTATTGAGTCGGATATGATAGGGAATGATTTGGGTAATGATTAGCATTCAACATGCATTGGAAAATAGACTTCTACAAGGCCACAAGGACTCCAAGTCCTACAGCGGGACATTTTTGATAACACCAAGTGTAGCATTGTAGGAAGTATTTATCGATTCCATGTTGAGCTTGTGATCCGAGCACAAGCCAACGCCTAATGACTGCCGTATTGCCCACAGCATAACAATGACCTTGGCGTCTTGGTCAAGGACACAGGTTAATACTCATCTGCCATATGTTACTGTGTGAATACAACATAGAGGCACAAAATGATCTGCAACCACTTTGCCATCATCGTGTCGCATGTGAACACCATCATATGTGCCAAGCCATTCTTCCATCACTGGATGTCTCGATAATTTGTTAATGGAGACAGCGCTGACGGTTACCCGTTTGGTAGCCATCATATCGTGGAACTGCTTCCTGATTTCGGGCAATATGGTGAATAGTTCTTGGACGGGAATATTGAGGCTTGTGTTGAGTAAGTGTTCGATGATGCGCTTGTCTGCTTCCTTGTATTCTAACGCATGCAAATATCTATACTGACTGGTTGATGTTGTGGCAGCAACGGGCGAGTTGGCAGTGGGTTTTGACAGTTCTGACGGTGATGTGACGGTGAGTTGGTGGCATCAAACCAAGCAAAAGAAACAGAAGCTGATGGGATGAGCAAGGTCTAGCT